GAAACTCGTGCAAAACAAGGCGGGGGCACGCTGCGCTGGTGCGATTGACGCGAGGCGCCTGAGCGGCAGGTTTGCACGAAATGGCGTAAAGGCCCCAAGACCAATGGGCGTCGAAAGCCAAATCGCAGGCAATTGCTAATCATGCGCGGCGCAGGCGCGCGAATCGCGAAATCGAGAATGCGAGTCTGGGCAGCTTGGCGCCGGAAATCCGCGCTGAATCGAGGCTCGGAAAGCATTCCTGGGCGCGCCAGAAGCAGCGCAGGGGCCTGACCACTGAATGGCAACCTGGCAACCAGCGAATGCTCTGCTGCTGGGCGCTCATCAACGACGCTGCGCCAGCACTGAAAGCACAGAGTGCAACCTTAGCGAGCACGCGGAAGCAGTAAATTGCGCTCGCGAATCTTCGGGGCACGCTGGCGCCAGAACCCAGGCCCCGTGCTCCAAATGCATTGCTGGCTGCGCAGGTGCAACGGACGGCGGCCGCGCGGCAACCAGGCTAGGCTGTTATCTGGAGCAGCACGCGCCACCTGCGCAAGGCAGGGGGTGCAAAGGGGCCAGACGGCACAGCAGCAATGGAGCGCTGCACGCGGTTGGCAACCGTGGCCAAGCGCTGCACTGCGCAAGGCAGGCGCGGTGCAGAATGACGCGCTGCCACAACCTCAGTGAGCACAGGGTGATAAGCCAAACGCTGCACTCGCGAGAGGGTCGCACTGCATGAGTTGCAATCTGAGCGCGTTAGCGCCAGAAAGGCGAAATTGACACGCCATTGCGAGCCTGGGCGGTGGGCGCTGGGGAACCGACTTCGCGCAGCCTGCGTCGAAAGCCCCACGCGGCGCGCAACGCCTGAGCGTGACAGGGTTGCCTGGTACATGGAACGCGGCGTGAACCCAGACTCCCAAGCAGGGCGTGGCCGCCGACTGCATACCCCCAGACAAAAGAGCGGCCGCCGGCTGCGCGCCAGGAGGCTGTGTCGAGAGCTCCGCGCTGCTCAGACGAAGAGCGCGCGGCCCCGGGGGTGGCACAAACCACGCAGCGTTGCCGCAGACACCCAAGGAGAGAGCGGCCGCCAACTGCACCGCGAGCGTGCGTCAAAAGCTCCGCCCTCGTCTGATGAAGAGCGCGCGGCAAAACATGAGAAGCGCGCAGCGCCGGTCACAGAGTGCCAGGAAGAAAACGCGAGTGGCGTGGCTGCAGACCTCCAAAGCAAGGAGCGCTGCGCGAGCCTGCTGCGCACCGCTCTGAAGAAGAGCGCGCGGCACCTGAGCTCACAGGGCTGCTTGGTAGGAGGCGTGCGGTTTGGCTGCAGACACCGCCTAGGAGGCGACCGCCAACTGTACGCCGAAGCCTGCGTCGAGCGAGCGTGAGCGCCACAGGGCTGCTCAGCAGAAGAGGCACGCGGCGTGGGCGCGGCCCCCCAAAGCAGGGAGCGGCCGCCGCCTGTACACCACGGAGCCTTGCGTGTCGAAAATCCGCGCTGCTCTGAAGAAGAGCGCGCGGCACATAAGCGTGACGAACACGCTTGGCGGAAAATCTCTTCGGTCCGGCCGTGCTGGTGGGCGAACGGAAAGTTGGCGCCGCCAGGCTGGCCCACACTGGAATTCTCCAAGGGGCCAGCCTGACAGGAACACCGCCGCGAAAGAGCACCAGACCAGGGTGGCAGTGGGTGGGTTACGAAATGGTGCCGGCACCTCGCCTTCGAGCCCTGCGCAGCAGAGCAGCCAGAGGTGGCCGCGGTCTGTCCCTTGGCGGCGCCGCTGCACAGATGGCGGAAACAACCAACCTTGCCAACCAGCGAAGGGAGGAGCGACAGCACCGCCACCGTCCAGAGCGCCAAGGCACCGGCGGATAGGGAGCCAACCAACCACCAACTCAGCCGAGCAACCGAGCAGCGAGGTTGGAGGAAGAGGACCGCCTGCCGTCCAGCAGCAACCAGGCCATGAAGATTCCCCTGCCATAGCGGAGAAGCGGATGAGATTTTCCTGCCCCGCAAACCGCTGCGCGGTTTGCGGGCTATGAAAACACGTGACGCTGGGCGCTGGCGCAGACTCCCAGACTGGGGAGCGCCCGCGCACTGTTTACCATACCGAAGAAATTGCGCCCGGTGGCGCTTGCGGGCGGGGAGAGCTGAATGAATCTGGGCGCCAATGACGAATCTGAGTGCTCGGGCGCTGAGCATGCGAATCGGGCTCAGCATGCAAGCTCACGCGCGCTTGCGTTAGAATAGCCAAAATCACACCGCTGGAAACACTAAACGAATCTGCAGATCTGCGGCGCAGATTGCTGCAATTTTCTGCATCTGGGCGCGCTGGCGGCAGAAAAAGGAAATCAAGGTCAGAACATCGAACACGCCACAATTGCCAATCAAGGCGCGAGTGCGCGAGAAGCGCCAACGAACCCAGAATGCGACCCTGCACGTGTTGGTGCCAGAGATGCGCACCAATCGCGAATCTAGGCGCATCGGCGCGAGAATTGGCCGAAACAAGCCGTAATTGCGAATCCGCCCGCGCAGGCGCCAGAAACGCGAAAACGAGCTCAGAATGAAAATCTGGGCGCGTCGGCGCCAGAATTGGCCGAAACGCGCCACCTGCAATTTCCGCTTTACACCGCCATATTTGTCAGCCCCCATAGGCCGCAAGGGCCCCGGGGAAACCCAAGACAAGGGCACCCGGCCGGGAGGGACGCGAAGCGTAAGGGATGTACAAAACTCCTTCTGCCACGGATGTGGCTCTTTTGGGAGTGCTGCTTCTGCCGCAGGCCACGGCAGCGCCTCCAGAAGAGGAGAGCCACCTACCCCCCCGAAGGGAAGCGGATTGCGACCAGCACGTCACGCCACACAGGGAGGGAGGGCGGGACCGCGAGACGCGCGGCGCCGCCTCCCAGGCCTGCGCGCGTAGAAAACGAATGAGATGGGGTGGCCGCGAAAACCACATTTCCCGAATGCACAGCCTCCTAAGAAAAAACGCTTTCCGCTTTACACCGCCATATTTGTCAGCCCCCATAGGCCGCAAGGGCCCCGGGGAAACCCAAGACAAGGGCACCCGGCCGGGAGGGACGCGAAGCGTAAGGAATGTACAAAACTCCTTCTGCCACGGATGTGGCTCTTTTGGGAGTGCTGCTTCTGCCGCAGGCCACGGCAGCGCCTCCAGAAGAGGAGAGCCACCTACCCCCACGAGGCACACGTCCGGGAGGATGGCGCGAAGCGTGGACCGACGGGGACGCCAGCGCAGGATGCCAAGCCGTCTCAATGTTTTTCGCTGCGCAGCACAAAAGAATCACATTGGACGTTGCCAGACCGGCAATGCCTCTAAATTCGCCGGTCGGCTCGCAGACGGCTGTGCAACCGAGCGCGCAGCACGGGCGGCGGCTTCCAGCAGGCGCTCTTTCCTAGCTGCTGCGGAAAACTTCGTGTAGAAGTTCCGCATCACATCGATTGAAGACCAGCCGCCCTGGCCCTGCACAAGCTCTTCGGGCAGGGACGCTGCGGTCTTCCACCACTGCGCCCCGCCTTTCCGCAGGGAGTGGCTGCCCACCTGTGCGTCGTTGAGGTGACGAGCGAGCATGCGCCGGAATGTGTCGGCGGAAACAGGCTTGAGATCGGCCACCCCTGTCACACAGAAGAAAAAACCCTCGACGTCCCCGCGCGTCTCGGATCGTAGACGTAGCCAGCTCCGCAGCAACTTCGTCGGACACAGCGGCCCCAAAGCCTGGATCTCGGGCACCCAGACGAGCAGACCTTCACCGAACGGATCGTTCTTCTGCCTCCTGATCCTGAACTGGAACGCTGTGTCTTGGTCCACCACGTCAGACACCACGAGCGCCTGCAGCTCCGCAAAGCGGCGGATGCCGAAAAAAACCAAAGCTATCATGGCCACATCCCTCACGCCAGCGACAGAAGTCTGTGCCAGGCGACTCCGCTGCACTGATGTGATCTCCAACAGCGAGAGCGGTCTTTTCGCTCGGCGGAGCGAATGATCAGCCAGCTTCTTAAGACCGCGCCAGAAATGCCAGGCTCGGGGGGTCCACGCGGCCTCGAAGGACTGCAGCACATCGCGCTCGAGGTGCCAAGCCCTGACTGCAGCTTTGGCGGCGCACACTGAGCCCCACGGGCGCCGGAGAAACCCCGAGAAGAGCAACATCAGCTTGACTTCGTTGTCGCAAGGCAGAAGCGCCATCTGGGTGGACGACTCCGCACCGCTCACCGCGCCGCGGAGCGTGTTGTCGTAGCGCGTCCTGGTGCTGTCCTCCCACGCCGCGTTGAAGCACGCGTGGATGTCCGCCGCTGCCTTCCGGCGTGCCTCCAGCGTGGCCGGCGCGCAGTCTTCGGACAGGAAGGGCAAGGTTGGGCGCGGGCCTTGGAGCCGCCGATCGCCCAACCGGTCGGGGGCCACGAGCGGGCCGCCCTGCGCCGCGCGGCTACTGGCCAAGAAAGCCAAAAGACCCTGAGAGCCGACAGCAGGCGCCTGCGGCGAACGCCCTGGCGGCGGGGCAGAATGTGGAGTGGGCCCCGCTGCAAGGGCACCACGTGGCCTCATCAAAGGGGCTGGCTCTTTCGGAACAGCGGGGACGGGGGCGACGCTGCTCTCAGAGGATCCCGTGGCATTCTTTCCGAAATCGTTTCTGTGAACGTAATCCTCCATGTTTGAGCCGACGTGACTACGGAACAGAGGCTCAAGTAGCGTGGGCAGACACCACTGTCAGAAAGGCGAGCTTCGGCTAGCCGGGCCTGCGCCATGAGCGGACACCCCATAGAGGCAAGAAAAATTTTCATCGGCAAAGCGGGCTGGGCACGACACGCCGCGGCACCGCTGTCAGTGGCACACGTAATTGTGTTTCGCAAGCGATTGCGCGGACTGCGCAACGCAGCCCGCGGCCGCCTAGCAGCTACGCCCAGATACGCAACGAAAGCTGCTGAAGGCAGGAGACTGGGACCTGGCAACAGCTACGTCCAGGTACGCAACGGTAGCCGCCAGGGCCGGGGCCTGGTCTGGAAGACGGAAATCAGTGCTTGCACTCCGCCACCCAGTGCTGCAGGTTGGTGGTCCTGCCGGAGGCCGTGCACTTGGTGCACGGCAAGACGCACAGATTCTTCATCTCTCGGCACTGCTTCAGGGTGTGCTTGACCACGCCTTTTCCGGACATCAGACAGTTCTTGCAAGCGTGATCCCTCAGAACCACAGTCATGGCGCTGCGGCTGTCGTCCGCCTGGTACTGCTTGTCAATCCACGACTGGAGTTTGCCGGGGGGCGTCTTTTTCTGCACGAGACCAACGAGTTCCTGGAGCAGGCGGTTCACCAGCTGCTTCCTGTCGCCACTTGGGTTTGGCGAGGCCGAGGCTGCCGGCCCATCGGAGGCGACGGAGAGCCTGGGAACCTTTGCCGGCGGTGGAGTGTCACACGTAGCTGCCTGAGTGCCCGAAGAAGCCGGCGCCTCACGCGAACGTGACACTGGCCCCCCGAATGCCGCCGCCGCCTCGCCCAGGATGATGTCCTGCGCAAAATCCCGGAGCAGCACCTCGTGCTCAAGGGTGGACGAAGCACTGGTCTTGGTCGTGCGCCGCTTGTATTGCTTGATCGTCTGGTAGATCGTGTCCATCAGCGCTGCCCTCTGGGCGGCAGCTTTCTCAGGGCCATTCTTCTTGGCCGACTGCACGACAGTGCAGCGGCGTTCGATCAGGTTGATCAGCACGAGCAACGAACGGGCTAGCGCCTTCACGTTCTCGAGAGGCGAATCGGATTTCTCCAGGAGGAAATTCTTGAGCTTGTCCCAGGAGCCGCCGTGGGTGCTCAGGCACAGCTTCTTCCAAGAGACCTTCGCCGCATAACGTGCCGTTGTAGCCCGCTTCAACTCCTGAAGCTCCAAATTCGCGGATTGCTTGCTGAAAGGGCCATGATGTTGGCAAGGACCGGGTTGTGCTCCACCGCCTGCATGGTCCACGAAACCTGGTCCGAGTCGACAACCAGATCGCGCCAGGCGGCAGCCCACTCTGCGACTGTAAGCAGGCGCAGTTTGGCCCTGTAGGGGAAGGTTTCGTCAGCGCGCCGGTCGTACTCGGACTGGATCAGCTGGTAAACCTCGGAATCCTTGTCCTTCAGAGCAGCGGCCACGCAGGCGCAGGCGTGCGTGTTGACAGCGGCGGCAGCACCGGCGGCGATGGCCAGCTCGCCTGGCTGGCCCTGCTCAAACGCCTTCCCGATCTCAGCCAAGATGGCTGAGTGGATCGCACCGGCGGGCTCCAGCGCGGCGGCGATGGCGGCCTGGACTGCGTCGGCCATGGCGACAGGCAGCGCCGGCGGAATACTGGGAAATGTATCAGGCGAGGACGCCCGCGTGGAGTGCTATGGGTTGCTGGGGACTGATGCTGGAAACGCTGCGAGGACTGGCAGCGTTGGCATGACAGCCCGAATGCAGCGACATTCCCAGGGCAAGACCGACTAGAACATCAGCGTGACTGAGGTGATTTTTCTAGCGCTTGCGCTTGCGCCGATTAGGCGCCCAGCTCTGAAGAAGCAAGTAAGGCAAGTCAGTTTTCGGACCGCTGCGGAAAGCAGAGCCCGAGTGAAATCTGAATAAATCGGAACCGGCAGGCCACGAGCGCACCCGATGCCAAAGCTGGAGTAATTTCGGCCGGAACCATGGGGCCCCTGCGTCTTCTGGACAGAGAAGCACAATCTGAGGTGGATCGGAGCTCCGCAACGCCGAATTCAGAAACTCAAGCGTCGCTTTCAGCAGCTCTCTGGGCGGATGCGCCCAAATGATTTCACCGGACAGGGTGGCTTCGAAGGCGGACAGCTCAGGGGAACGCCAAGAAGGGGCCTTGGCTGTAAGACCCGCCCTGTCAGCAAACAAATCCAAGGTGAAAGACACGCCCGTGCGAGAGAGGATGTCGTGGAAAACCGAATCCTTCACACAAGCTGCGCGGAAAACGTCAGAATTCCACCGGGCGGAAAACTGTACATCGCGAGAGCCGAGGTCGGCCGCCCTGTTCGCCACGCCAGAGATGTGCGCAGCAAGGGCCCAGCAAGAGGCGCGGCGCTCTGCCGCTTCCAGCTTCACGGCAAGCCTTTCAAGAGTTGGAATAGCGCCATAACGCACATTGGTGTAGTGCACCGCGCACGCGTTGTCGGTCCGAAACAGCACGCGCCAGCCGCTAAGGTCCACCTCGTTGTCTTCCACGCACTTGACGATAACCCACAACTCCTTAAAGTTGATGTCAAGTTTGTCGCGCGGCACGCCTTCTTTTTCAGCCAGGTCGGGCGGCCACACACCAGAAACAGATCTGCCAGAATGGCAAAGATGGTAAGACCAACCTGTCTGACCAGAAGCGTCCGTTTCCACGATGCGAATGGAACCTTCTTTTGCCAAGTCGCTCCATCGCTCGTACTCCGGCGACTTGTGTCCCCAGTTGCTGAGTTGATCAGCGAAGTTGTGCAGGGCGCGCCTTGGCGGAATGGCCAAAGCGTTCAATCCCCAAGTAAGGTTCTTGCGGCTGAGTTCCGTCAGATGCACTGTAGGGTTTGCCTGGGGGCACTTACTCCAAAGAGAATATACCCCCGCCGCATTCAGATCCGACCAGATGGGGTGCAAGCGACGCCGCGCCTGTGGATATAACTCCCCGAGGTGGGATATCAAGCCGGCGGCAGAAGTGACGTCTTTGGCCCGAAGGTTGCGTTCATTGTCAAGCGCGAGGATATCAACAATGGCACGACATGTTTTGTCGCACTTTTCCTGCGACACGGTGACCACTTGGTCGATGGAATCGAAAATCCAGCCGATCCAACATTGACGCGTGCTGGGCTGCCGAATGCCAGTCGGCTTGCCGCTCACTGGAATCCCGACCTCGGCAAAGAAAGCAACAGCTGATTCCAAACGTGACCACGCCAATTCTTCTGACTCGCCCACGCCGAACAGATCGTCGACGAAATCGAGCAAGTCAACCCCCCGCGAAAGCCGGAGAAGACGAAGAAGTTCCTTCATGTTTGAATCGTTAAACCCAGGCGCTGGTGCAAGACCAAACGGGAGAAACTCGTAACGCCCATATTGCTGCCGGGCTGGACAGTAAAAACCCAGCAAATCTGCATCGTCTGGGTGGACACGCCAGTTGAAAAAACAATCTTGAAGGTCAATGACGAACATGTAGCTGCCTCGGCGAAGACGCGACACAGCCATGTCCAGCGTGCCGTAAGCGACCCCAACCTGGGGAAGCCGCTCGTTCACGCGGCCTCGCCGCAAGTCAAGAATCAAGCGTGCTTTCCAACGGTCAACCTCTGGCGCTGCGTCGTCGACGCCTTCCCGCGGCTTAAGCAGTAGAGCGCACGGATTCACATTCAAGCGTGCGGGTATCCTCGTCCCTGGCGGGAACATGAGGACCTTACCAAGACGTTCCAGACGGCTCCACTCAACTATGGCCCAGGTATCGTGCTCTGTGAGGGATGGATGATTTGGCGTCTTTGTGGGCGCTGCTGCCGCGGCGCCCAGTGGCTGACCGTGGAGCCACTTGTTGAGGAAATCTGGAGTGGCGCCGAGCTGCTTCAGCTTGTCCAACTTCAGTGTGAGACCTCGGATGCCTTGCCACCATGACAGGTTGTCGTTGGCTTGGCGGACCTGTGTAAGTAGTTGCGAAAATCTCTCTGTCATTCAGCGTGGCGTGACCGAGCCAGCTGCACACTCGAGCCCAAATGACTACGCACGATGGCGATGCCTGCAAAGCGATAGCGGCAGGGTTGCACCACCCTGGTAGCACAGAATCTGCGAACCTATTGAGCAAGTATACGATGAAGAACGATCCCTTCAACTCGCCATCAAGACAAGCACTCGCTCTGTCGACAACACCCTGGCAGGGAAGGGGAACGTGACGCGGCGCTGAAGGCGAGTGCTGTTTAGGGAAAAACAGAAGGCCCCTCCCGCCTCCTATCCCCGTCTGCGACCTGAGTGCACCACCCAGGCCGGCAGATGGCGTCATAGGGGCACGGGCGTACAGACAGGGAAGAGCCCACACAGTCGACACCACTGCCGATGGCCTTGGTAGACCCGCGCAGCCATGCTTCGAACAGTTTTGCCTGAATGCACCGTCCAAGCTCGCAAGCGGTGTCGTGGGATGCAACCGTGCCGACTGTTCAACATAGCTTGCGGAGCAGGAACCGGACCTCCGCGGACCGACTCTTCAGCAATGGCGGCCAATCCCTCTGGCTGAACATTATTGTGTGAAAACGCTGACAGGAATCTCTGCGCGCTGGCGTCGCACGACACGTGACCGGCGCTGGAGGCGAGTTGCTGTTTATGGAAAGAGAAGAAGAACCTTCCTTCGCCGTCGGGCCACCCAAGGGAGATGGAAGGGCACTGAATGATGGATGGTAGAGCGCCCGTTTTGGGCGATGCTTTTCCATGGACGGTTCGCGGGAAGGCTTACGCACGTTCCCCGCTACTTGCAGCCCACGGGGGCGGCTTGCAGCTCAGCAGAACAGCTGATTAGAGCCAGCCTCGAGAAATCATCCGACCTGGACGGCCGGCTCGCGAAATTCGAATCGGCGCCGCCTCCCAGGCCTGCGCGCGTAGAAAGGAACGAGTGAGATGGGGTGGCCGCGAAAACCACATTTCCCGAATGCACAGCCTCCTAAGAAAAAACGCATCTGGGCGCGCAGGCACCGGAAACAAAAACGAGCTCACAATGCAATTCTCAGCGCGTCGGCGCCAGAATTGGACAAAACAAGCTACAATTGCGAATCTGGGCGGGCAGGCGATAGAAACGAAAACGAGCTCAGAATGCAATTCTAAGCGCGTCGGCGCCAGAAGTGTCCAAACGCGCCGCAAGTACGGCACACAGGCACGGGAAAAGAGAAAACGAGCTCAGAATGCAATCCTCGGCGTGCCGGCACTGAGATTGGCTGAAACGGCGCAGCAATTGCGAATCTGGGCGCAAGAAAACCAGCTCAGAATGCAATTCTGGGCGCGGCGTCGCCAATATTGGCCGAACCGCGCGGCTGTTGCAACTCTGAGCGCGCAGGCGCCAGAAACGCAAAATCGAGCTCAGAATGCAATTATCAACGCAAAAACACGCAAAAGCCAAACTGAGCTGCAAATGCGAATTCAGCGGAGCGTGAAACTTGCAAAATCGAGCTCAGAATGCAATTCTGGCGCATCAGCGCCAGAACTGGCCAAACTGTTCCACGATCGCGAATCTGGGTGCGCACACGCCAGAAACGCGGAAGCATGCTCAGGATGTGATTCTGAAACGCGACGCTGGAATAGCTGCGCCACAGTTGCGACGCCACGCGCGCCAGCGCCAAAAGTGCAAGACCGTGAACAGAATGCAACGCTGGATTGGTCAGCGCAAGCGTGGCGCAGGCGGAAGCAGGGAGCAGACGCGCCGCTGCGCAAGGCAGAAGCGTATAGAATGCGGCACTGCAGCACCCAGGCCAAGCGCGGCGCAGGTTGGCAGCAGGGGGCAGACGCCCCACTACGCAAGGCAGGGGGCGCACAGAACGCCGCACTGCAGTAACCGGGCCAAGTGTGGCGCAGGTTGGCAGCAGGGGGCAAACGCCGCACTGCGCAAGGCAGGGGCGCACAGAACGCTGCACTGCAGCAACCGGGCCGACGCAGGTTGGCCGCAGGGGCAGACGCCGCCCTGCGCAAGGCAGGGGGCGCAAAGAACCGCCGCACTGCAGCAACCGGGCCAAGCGCGTGCAGGTTGGCAGCAGCGGGCAAACGCCACCCGCGCAAGGCAGGGGGCGCAAAGAAACGCAGCCTTGTAGCAAACAGGGCATGCATGGCGCAGGCTGGCAGCAGGGGCGAGGCGCGCCGCACTGCGCACAGCAGGGGGCGCAAAGAATGCCGCACTGCAGCAACCAGGCCAAGCGTGGCGCAGGTTGGCAGCAGGGGGGGGGCAAGCGCCGCACTGTGCACGGCAGGGGGCGCAAAGGAAGTTTGCATTGAAGCAACTGGGCCAAGCGCTGCGCAGGCTGGCAGCAGGGGGCAGACGCCGCAGTGCGCCAGGCAGGGGGCGCAACTGCGCCAAGCGTGACGCACGCAGGCTGGCAGCGGGGGTCACCACGCTGCGCAGCGCTACTCTGCGGATCAACGCGCAGACTGCGCATCTGAGGACGGTAGCGACACGAATGCGCGACCTGCGCGTCGGAATGCGAATTTGGGCCCGCCAGTGCCAGAGCACACACAGTTGCGCTCTGAATGCAAGTCTGGGCCGGTCGCGCTTTCCGAACGTGGCATTCTGGGCGTGCTGGCGCCAGAAAACTGGCGGACAGCCGACAGGCTGTTGCTGGGGAGCGCGCCGGCGCACCGCCACGCCACAGAGCCGCCTGAGAGGCACGCAGGCGCGACTCCTGCTAGAGAACTTCGGGCGCCGCTCCTGTCTGGGGGCACAGAAGCGCAACTCCTTTCCAGGGGCTTGGCCTGTCAGGGAGCACAGGAAGAAGCTCTGGGTGCAACATTGAAACCTGCGTTGCAGGATCCAGATGCACGGCGCGCGCGAACTCCCCTGACGAGGAAGCGCGAGTCGGCCGTGCACAGCAACCCGAAAGTGCTAGCTCCACGCCGCTCTGAACGAGCGGGCGGCGCCTGAGCGTCACAGGGTTGCAGGGCACATCTGAGTACGCAGTGCGTCCGCACAGGCCCCCAGACAAGGAGCCGGCCATGCACCGCCGCCCAAAGTGCTAGCTCCAACGCCGGTCTAAGCGAGCGGGCGGCACCTGAGCGTCACAGGGTTGCTCGGGACAGCTGGGTGCGCAGTGCGCCGGCGCAGACCCCCAGACGAGGAATCCGACCGTGCACCGCCACCCGAAAATGCTAGCTGGCCCCGCGCCGCTCTGAGCGAGCGGGTCGCACCTGAGCGTCACAGGGTTGCTGGGCACATCTGGGCGCGCGGTGCGCCGGCACAGACCCCCAGACGAGGGAGCCGACCGTGCACCGCCACGCGAAAGTGCTAGCTCCACGCCGCTCTGAGCGAGCGGGCGGCACCTGAGCGTCACAGGGTTGCTGGGCACATCTGGGTGTGCGGCCGCTCTGCGCGAGCGGACGGCACCTGAGCGTCACAGGGTTGCCTGGTCCGCACGGTGCGGTGCGCGGGCGCAGCGGCCGCACACCGCAACCCAAGATGCATAGCTCCATGCCGTTCTGCGCGAGCGGACGGCACCTGAGCGTCACAGGGTTGCTTGGTCCCGCGACTGAGCGCACGGTGCGACGGCAGCGGCCGCGCACCGCGACCCAAGATGCACAGCACCATGCCGCTCTGCGCGAGCGGACGGCGCCTGAGCGTCCCAGGATTGCTGAGTAATGAGCGACGAGGTCTGGCCCGAGCGCCCCAAGACAGAGAACGCGGGGACTGCGTCGACAGAGGACATGGATCTCGGCTGCGTGGGGACGATCCGAACCCCAACCAGAGGGACCGCGAGACGCGCGGCAGCATCCCCTGGGCCTGCGCGCAAGGAATCCATCGATTCAGAAGCAATGGAAAAGTAACAAGAGGTAACTCTTGGACAGGCAATGATCATCCTGGAGAGAATCGATGCAAAGACACTCCTGATCAGCCAATGCCAACCAACCAACCAGCCTGGAGCGAAGCAAATGGAGAACGAAGGGTGCCCGCGAAAACCTTGCTTCCCGAATGCACAGCCTCCTCAGAATCTCCGCTTATTTCGACCGTGCGCCCCTCCTCTCCCGCTCCTCCCCTGCGCCCCTCTCCCCTTGTACCCGTGCTCCCCCCACGCTCCCCGGACTCCCGCGCCTGTTCCTCCGTGCTCCCACCGCCCTCTCCCGGCCCTCCTCCCCTTATTCCGACCGTGCGCCCCCCTCCACCGCTCCTCCCCTGCACCCCCCTCCTCTTGCCTCCGTGCCCCCCGTCTGCCCGGATGCCCCTTCTCCTTATTCCGACCGTGCGCCCTCCCCCCGCTCCTCCCCTGCGCCCTTCTCCCGATGCCTCCGTGCTCCCCCCACGCCCCCCGAGCTCCCCCGCCCTGTCCCCCGTGCTCCCTCCGCCTTCCCTGGGCCCCACTTCCCTTATTCCGACCGTGCGCCCCCCTCCGCCGCTCCTCCCCTGCGCTTGTCTCCTCTTGCCCCCGTGCTCCCTCGCGCCTTCTCCTCCGTGCTCCCCCCGCCGCCCCCGAGCCCCCCTCCCCTTATCATCATACCTACCGGTGTGATCTCGCACTGCTTTATTTCGACCGTGCGCCCTGCTGGCGGTTCTGCTGGTGGTCGTGCTCGTAGTCCTGCTGGTGGTTGTGCTGGTGGTTGTGCTGGTGGTTGTGCTGGTGGTCGTGCTGGTTGTGCTGGTGGTCGTGCTGGTGGAGGTGCTGGCGGCCGTGCTGGTGGCTGGTCGTGCTGGTGGTCGTGCTGGTGGTTGTGCTGGTCGTCGTGCCGAAAGATGTGCTGGTGGTCGTGCTGGTCGCTGGTAGTGGTTGTGCTGGTGGTCGTGCTGCTGGTTGTGCTGGTTGTCGTGCTTGTGGTTGGTGGCGCTGGGTGGTCGTGCTGGTGGTCGTGCTGGTGGTCGTGCTGGTGGTCCTGCTGGTGGTCGTGCTGGTGGTCCTGCTGGTGGTTGCGCTGGTGGTTG